GGTCAATCATGTGGCATAAATACAATAGGTATAATTCGGAAATTTCACCCGAAAACACGCCTGCACAGGTTCTGCACGGGGAGCATTTTTCTGCACCCCAAAATAGTAGCTTAAACTCTGCTTATAATTTCAAAGATAATACGTATTACACGAATTGATTGGCATAATTTGTTACCATATCGGTAAGGCACCAGTGAACTTTAATTGACGAAATGTGCTTCATTTAAAGAAAGGGATTCTTGTATTCTAATAAAGAGGCATCACCATTTAGCTTGAAATAAAATTTATCCATGCATTTGTGATTCTGGAGAATTACTGTTTAGTAAAATGGAGAAAATATTATTCGCTGACCTATATTTTCTGCACCGACTTCTATTTAAGTGAAACGAATCTTAATTTCTTTTCTGAATACCAGTGTATGATTTGTGACTTTGGTTGTATCTGCATAAGTTTTCTTGTCCGCTTTGACACTTTGCGCATAATAATACTTTATGCTCATTACCTTCGCCTAACAACAGAGGTTGATAATCATAGAGAAAGCTCGTGTCACTATCCTTTCTCTTTTCACCACTGCATTTTGCGTCACCATTGCACTTCTTGCACCGTTGCATGTAATAATCTTTTAAATTCCGCGCCGACCTTTGGAACATAAATTCACGAAGAGAAATCCAAGTGTAAGCACTCTTCCATTTCTTTTTGCAGGTTTGGCATTTCCACAATCCAAATACTCTGTAATACTCATCCCATTCCAAATTACGAAGAATTTCAATTGTGGGCTCTTGTTTGATCTATTATTTGTAAGTAAAAAAATTTTTTTCTTTGTTACGTGTCGGAGAATAATATTTTTAAGCATGGACAATTGATTGACTTACATTCAAAATTGGTGCTGTGTATAATCGAAAACTCGTAATCAATAAAGATTTATCACACTTATCGCATTCCTTAGACAAGTGGGTTTTAATTCATATTTATCGAGTTTTGAAAGCACCTTGAGTTCATTCTGCTCGAATTTTCTTTGAAATTCGTATTCGTATTTGGTTTCATCTTTTCTACGTTCACACATCCAATTCCCATATACAATATAACCCCTACTGAAACGCACTAGATGACCCAGTATTCTAACGAGCTGGTTAATAAATGAAAATGAAAATTGTATCGTGTATCGAAAAAAACAAGAAAAAAGTAATAATTGTTGTTATCTTGATCTGTGACCTGTTCTCTACTCTGGGATAATAAACATAAAGTGTTAATCAAATGGTACAATGAGAAAAATTATCATTTGTCCCAGAATATTCAATATACCTCATTCTGTGCCCTTGTATTTACTCTCATCAAGGATGTCTAAATGAAAATTAAAGACACAAATTGCAGTGACAAATTAAGACGGATTAATTTTAGTAATACAAAAATAGAATACAAGATACCGTTGTTTCAAATCGTGTAATCGTATAAGGGCGAGAAGTGGTAGGATAAGAATTATTCTGCTTAAAGGAAGTTTACGCAACAAAAAAGTTGGTTATCATTATTGCTGTACATGTTTAGTCACTAATACATGATAACAAACCGACGTACCGTTACAAAATCATTTCGTGTAGTCATATCTTGCGTATGGTAGAACTCATAATCCTGTTCATTTTTAGAAGTCTATAAAGAAATAATAAATGATATATTCTGTAGTAATACTGGATTTCAGACATAATAACAGACTTGACGTATTACCGCTTCATGATAAATTAACGGAGAATGTGAAAGAGAAGAAATACTTTCTCTCTTCTTGGAAGTCTATTAATGAAAGAAATTGGTTGGAAAAACAACAATAGAATGCTTCTCACCATATCATGGAAAAGTAAAATGTACCGTCTTTTCCTGCAAATCGCCTACTTGCTGATTGTGCTGATAGTGTGAAGAAGTCGTATCTACGCTTAACCGCGACAGCTAATTAAATAGGATCACCGCAACTTAAATATAGTCTCAATATGTATAGTAGACAGTTAAAACGTGCAGTTACCTCTTCAGTTATCGCTGATACTATCTGTCTCATTATGAATGACTCGTGCCAACTAAAGGTATCAACGAAGTTTTGAATTATACGTGAATATCTGCGTGAGGACAACAAACGTACGAGACGTATAGTATGATTGATATAAAATTATTATTTCATGTGCGGTTAGGTTATTTTCTCGTAAGAGCAGTAGGATTTCATACTGGTACAGTTTTAACATGTTTTCTTGGAAGCTTTTTGAATTTTCATTGGTCGATACAGCTATACTACCCTAACTTTGGGAATTTGGCTTAATAGACAGCGATAGGCGAAAATACCCGGCTACTATTATTGGAGATTTATGTTTTGATGAACATCATAACCAACTATGGAAACAAAGTACCGTACAGTATCAAATTCAAAAGCTTTAATATAAAAAAATTTAAATGATTTACGGAATCCAATAAATAAATTACGTTATCTATACATCGAAATAGAAAGTCTTTACAATATATAAAAGAAATTTAATCAGTATAGCACAGCATATATGCGTTTAGTAGACACTATTCGCAGGATCTTATTAGTTTGGCCAATGGCATATCTCGATTTTTTTTGTTCACTATTTTTTGAGTTCGGGAAAACGTTTCTTTTCATGGTAGAAGTCGACCAAAACAGAAATAAATAGAGTGTTATCTACTGTTTGAATCTATACGGTTAACCTTCCAACATGTTGTATATGATATTTGAGAATTTGGATCTTTTCAACTTACATAATGTATATGGGTAATTCTTTTTGAAGGCGGACAGGGATTTTTCTGACTTTATAATTGTACTCCTAGAATTTATATTGTATATGTATTGTTCAAAAAATAGGGATCAAAAAATCGTATATAACATTTTTGTCGTTTTCAAAAAGAATCAGCCAATATTTACGTTCTTGCTGCAAACATCTATAGATTATACATGTTTGATCTCAATACATTGTAATTGCATGTTAGGAGAAACTTAAAAAGGTAATAATAATACTATAATGTTGCTTATTAAAATGAGAATTGCTGGAAAAGATCATAGACCTTTGAAATTGAATTCAATATGAATTAATAAAGTTAGTCTTTACCATTGTGAGGTGTAGTAGCGAGTCTGTCGCTGAGGATAGCAAGGTTTTGCGTAACCGCGGATGGGGTGAGTATACATAAAGGTAACGGGACGTGTCCGGGTTTGGCAGAGTACATTATTGATTTTTTTTTTTTATAAAGCTTGGGTTGCCTCTTTATTAACTTTTGTCTTCTCTTTTTATCATCATCTTTTGCTTACAGAGGCTAGTGTGTCTATACAACAACAACGAAAACTTTGTAGAAGCTATGACTAACCTACATAAAGCAGAGTTTTAGTTGCTATTTTCGGTCGCAGAGGGGGTGTTGTTTATGCACTACTCGTGCGGCACCCTTACGGCACTCGTGCGTCACCTGTGCAGGTGCACATACAATGATTTTGAGTGAAATTTCCGAATTACGGAAATCCCTTACATTTAGTATAAAAATCTACTATATCACGTGTTTAATATTTGCTAGAAAGTGACTAATTTTTTATCGTTTAAATAAAATTTCTCAAAAACTAGCAAAGTAATTAAAATAATATTTTAATATGTTATGTAAAATCTATCCTTTTATAACATATTAAAATTTTATCTAAATAAAATCGCTAGTTTTCGAGAAAATCCATAAATTATAAAAAAAATAAGGATCGTCACGAATTCGCGAACTTTGCGCGAAATTATTGATCACTATAAATATCTTACGGAATTACCATTGTTTTAATATAAACCAAATTAAAATTTTAAATATAGAAAATTTCAATATTTGTTAACAAAAATACAAGTTTTTGTAAATTTTTATCAAAAAATTTAATAAAAATAAATAAATAAAGCATACATATAGACAATAATGAAAATAAAAACAAACAAACAAACAAACAAACAAACAAATAAATAATAATAATAAAATAAATGATAGTAACAATAGTAAATAATAAAATAAATAAAAAATTATTTTTTCTTAATTGGATTGGTAAGATATGAATTTCTTTTTCTCTTATTAGAAAAATACGAGTTTTCATTATTATCTTGATTTATATTTTTTGATAAATCAATAGAAAGTTTTCTGAAATTAGATAATGATGATTCTTCATTTGTTAATGAATTAAAATCATTAATGACTATTGTTAATTTATCATTAAAGTTATTCTCATTTAAATTAATGTTTTCAAATATTTCATCATTATTAATTTCTTCAATATTTTCAATATTATCATCTATTTTATTATCATTTTCATCATTTTCATGATTATTTTTTTCAAGAGTTAATTGAGAATTAAAAGAATTTGATAATTCTTCAATTGATAATTTATAATACTGAAAGCAATAATCACAATTAGAATCCAATAAAGTAGTAAAACATGTTAAATGATATGCATGTCCACATATTAAAACTTTTATATTTGGATCCATATTATTACAAGATTGTAAGTCACAAGGTTTTTCTTTACTTGGACTTTGATTGGTATGATATGCTGATGGAAGAATTCCTTTTACAAAATGTTTTTCAATTGATGGAATATAAACTTTAGTTTGTTTACCACTTCCTTCAATTTTAAATTCATTTTGTTTTTGATAAAGATTTTTAAAAAAATCTAAAAGAAAAATACTTGATAAAATAGATAAGGAATCTAATTGAAGTTTAGAAAATGAATATTTTTTTATTTTTATAAAATCTTCAATAAATTTAATTTCATGTTTTTCATAATCTATAAAAATACCATATTGTCTAAGAGTTTTAGAATTTATTAATTTTGAAGTAGTATTTCTTCGAACAAGACTATGAAAATTTTTCACAGGATATTCATCAATTATATTAAGATATTTAAAAAATATATCTATTATTGGATGTTTTTGTTCATTCCATTGAAGAATATCTGATAAAAAAACCAACATTATTTTATCATAATTTTTTCGATTACATCTTCTCATAAACATCCATAATCGAAATATTGTTTCATAATAATATTCAAAATGATTATGTCGAAATAAATTTGTATAAATATCCAAAGTGGAAGGTATAATATTATCCAATAAATCTAAAATTGAACAAAAACCTCCATTTTTAGAATTTTTAAAAATTTTAAGAATTGAAGATTTAATTTTAATCCATCCCATATGGGTAATATAAAGCAATAAATTTATTTGCCATGGTTTTGGTTTTTCTGATAAATTTTGTTTTTTATTAAAAACTTTTTTATATAATTTATTGAAAAATGAATGAAATTTAATTATACATATTTCACAAGTATTTAATGAAATATGTAAAGGTCCAAGTATAGAAACAAAATGATTTTTTTTTTAATCGTAAAAGAGCATCAGATGCAAGACTTTATTGATATATAAATTATATTTGAGTTACATCAAATATCTTTATGTACTGTATTACACAAATTAATATTAACCTATCTACGATACTAACTACCACTATCCTTGACACACTTAATGTGCTTTAGATTAGTTTTAGTGCTGGATGGTTAATGTTCTTCCAGAGCTGATACAAGTGTTTGTGTTTTGAGTGGGTTGCTGCTTAAGTCCATTTGTGAATTCGTTGCTTCTATGATTAGCTCTAACAAAGATAGTTCTTTTACTGAATTCCTTTGCATAGTGGTTCTGTTGCTGTTTGTGGTTATGTGAGGATAGCTGTTTTATTTAACTCCTAAAGCTATTGATGTGTTGGCTGTTGTTGACCTGGGCACCCAAATCAGTGTGTAAAATAGTGCTAAGGCTTTATTTGCGAATTTGGCATGGCTCTTTGTTGACAAGTGAAAATTTATTTCTGTCATTCCGCATGCAACTTTGTCCAATTCTGCCTTCCTTCCTATATTTAGTCTCTGTATTTAACTGTTTGCATTGACTAACTTCTTTTTTGAGCTGCTTTTGTTTAAGAGTTTTGTTAAGCTTTTTTTGAGTTTGGCTTTGATCTCTCTATATGCAGATAAACTTTTGTAGCATTCAAAAATATGTCTCTGGGTCTCTGTCTCGGTGAGACATCTGGGGCACAAGTTGTCTTCATATGTGTTGGGGTATCTTTTGTGAAGGAGTTGTCTGGTGGGAAGTATGCCACTGATCATTTTTGCCCTGAAGACTAGTAGTGAGAAGCAGTTCACCTTATCCTTTTTAATGAGGAGTTTATTTGCTTTTATCAAAGCCTGAAGATTGAAAATTTTTATATTAGTGTTCCATCTTTTTTCAATTGAAGAGTTGTTTATAGTATTAATGAGTCTGAAGACATGCTATACTTTTTTAATCCATGTTACTGGGCTATAACCCCATTTGTTTTTAATTCTTGGTCCTGTAGTGTAAACTGTTGGCTCTATTATATTGTCAATTCCTATGATTGCTTCAATGTCCTGCTGCTCTGGAGAGATTGAGTTCTTTTCAAGCCTTAGCTTGATATTTTTTTGACTGCAGATAGTGTTGATATTTCCTATCAGAAAACT